ATTTAATTCCTCGAAAACTAGCAACATCACCCTCAAGTGATCCACACTAGATATCTACCTGGGTACTCAATTAATAGAAAACAAAATGTCAGCAAAATTTCTGGGATTACAAATTGATAAAAATTTGGATTTTGAAGGTCACATAAATAACCTATGTAAAAAAATTTCATCAGGATGCTTTGCAGTCAGAGTATCAGCAAATGAATTGGGCACTAATATGGCAAAAAATGTGTACTTTGCTCTCATCGATTCCCATCTGAGATACGGTATCTGTTTTTGGGGAACGTGTTGCCAATACATGTTTGATAAGGTGTTTGTACTACAATAAAGAGGAGTCAGAAAAAATCTGTTTTAAAAAAATCTGTTTTAAAATCTGTTTTTCCGTTAATCAGCTGTCGACCCCATAAGAATGACAACTCTCAGAAGTTGAGAAACTTATTCGAGCTGAGGACTAACTAGGTCTTACCTTTCAACGTGTGATTCATTACTCGGTTGTAGAATCATCCCCGCTTCAACCAGATAAATTCTCTCGAGAAAAATATCAGGTCGAGGTGGGAATCGAACCCACGATCTTCCGATCGTGGGCACTACCACCGCGGCCAATTCCATAACATGTGTAGAGTTGGATTCAAGGATACCAGTCGACCTTTATTCAGAAAACATAAAATCTTGGCCTTCCATACTTATATTGGAAATGTGATGTTTGATGCAAAAAAATACGGGACGGAAATTTTCATTTCACCACGAATAAATACCAGAAATAAGCTCAATATAGGTTCACCGAATCCAATATCATCAAAAATAGAGAGGTCTTTCATATATAATGGAAAAAAATGTTTAACCATTTACCAATTGAGATCAAAGGAATAACATGTACCACTAAATTAAAGGTCGTCCAAAATCAGTTGTTGTTCCGAAAACCATTGATGCTGTGCGTGAACTGATATCGAAAGATCGTCATGTAACCTATCGTGAGATTGAGGCAACCTTAGGCATTAGTGGTACCAGCATACATTCAATATTGCATAAACATTCGACTGTCAAAAAAAATGTTCGCGTTGGATCCCACACAATTTTTCGATCGCTCAAAAAAAAGCTCGTGTTGATTGATCGAAAGAAATGCTCAAAGAATACGATCGCTTTGGAATACGTCTATGACATCGTGACAGTTGATTCAACAAAATTTGATCACGCACGAAGCACTTCCAAGCAAATGGTCGCCTATTTTTTCGGCAAAACTGGACATGTCGCAACCGTACCACTAGAACAACGCAGAGCAGTCAATTCTGAGTGATACACAACCATTTGCCAATTGTCTTCAATAAATCAGGAAAACCAATCGCCGAAGACGGATAACTTTTCACCACGACAATGCGAGCTCTCACACATCGGCTCAAACAACCGCATTTTTGTACACCCAAAACATCGATTTGATGAGTCATCCGCCGTATAGTCCTGACTTGGTACCGAATGACTTCTTTTTATTCCCGCACGTACAAAACAAATTGAGAGGTCATGTTTTGGAGATACCTCAATCAGAATGCCAAAAGTGCTTCGACAATTGGTTCAAATGCATGCAAAAGTGTATAGATCTCCATGGAGAATATTTCTAAAAACAATAAAGTAATCCACTATGAATCTGTGACTAACAGATCACTGCTTTGGAATCAGTAGGTATACATGAGAAATAACTACTGCTTTTTCGAATATTAAAAGAGCATAATGAATCCAAGAAAAAATAGGTGAGCGACAGGTTTATATGACCAAAGTATGTATATATTGACAAGGAACAACCAGTTATTTCGACTGTTGGCAAAATTGGTGTATAGAAATTTTCTAGAGAATACCTACATTCCGTTATTGACTCCATTTCAAGAGTGTACTTCATATTTCCAATTGCGGCAATACTTTCCAAAACTTCTGCAACAACTCAACAAAGATCAAGTTACAAAAATCCTACAACATTTCGATATCGACATCAATGGAGCAGTATCAGATTTGAACATGAAATTAGAAATCATCAAGAGGTATCCCGAGTTTGCGAATTCGAAAGACTTTGACTTCACAACTCTGTTGAATCTCTTATACAATGAGTGTTCAGCTAGTACCTCAACCAATCGAGACTGTATTACAGCGAGAGTGGACAGTATTGATTTTTTATGCATCCAACTTATGGAACAGTCAAAAAATACCAAAAAGAAATAAGAACATCTCTGTAATTTGTAATATATTCTGATCATGAACCTTTGATGTTTGCGTTTGATAAAAAACCAGAAACTACTTCTCCCAGACAAACCCGATTAGGCATATTTCTGGATCCAAAAATATTGTTGCTGACGCCTCATCAAGANAATTTCAAAAAAGGTATTCAGATTGATCGTTTGAGATTTTTGAAACGTTGGATTTTTTATTTTGGATCAGTATTTCAGTTTTGAAACAGAAAATGTGAAAACAGTAATCTATGAAATATGTTTTTCGAAGTTGATTTGTGCATGAAAACTACTGTGCAACTAATAACTTGGATATTGAAACATTGAAGTTCAATCCAAATTTCTAACAGTTTTTCACAAAAAAATTTCAGCACATTGTTTCGGCTACTGAATGTATTTATTCAGCAATTTTTACAATCTGCTTTTTTCAGTTTCCATAAGGTTGTTGATTTATTTCAGAAGTTGGCTCCTCTAGTGGCTTACTGCAAATACCACAATACCAATCAATCAACGGAGGGTATAGACACGTCTCATCCCAATAATTTATGATATTCTCTTTACAGTAATGCCTGTCGAAAACAGTTTCACAGCCTAGAATTTTTATCATGGAAGCAGAAAATCCCTGCAGAAATCTCAAAATATAGCAGTTTGTGAGAAATATCAATTTTGAATTGCATTAGTTCGGATTTCCATTGTCTGATATGATATAAAACAATCTGAAATCCCTGAAAACATCAATAAAATCAAAATGAATAGCTGAGAATAACAATTATATTGATCAAAAAACCCTGGAATGAAATGACAGTGAAATAAAATACAAGCAACAATTGAAAAGTGAGCAATAGAAAAATAAAAAGTGGAAGATTTCAAGCCAAGTTACTTCACGACGTTTCGATTATTAGTATCCACAATCGTCTACAGGTGATGACTGGACTTATTTACCGACAGCCATCTTGGTTTCAGACAGGTTGGAGCCTGGCTTCCTTACCCTTTCAACTGATGTTTGTCAGAGGGTCAATACTGATGATGGGATGGCGACATGAATGCCATCAGACATCAGTGCAGGCCATCACGGTGTAACTCTACCTGGCTGGGGTGGAATGAATGGAAAGATTGTTCATATTTCAACGGAGGACATAGGGGCCTCATTCGACAGAGTGTCGAGGCCTTTTATATCGGACTGGACTTATTTCTTCGAGAGATGACTATTTATAGGTCATTCAAATGCTTTCACCTATTCCCTCTCCCCTCTCACCGCTTCACCAGTTTAGCAGAAGTTGGCCGTTTTCCACTTGATTATGGGTTTCCATATGTTGCGTATTACTACGCTTCTTTGAATTACATCCTAAACCAGTGTTCCTCCCTGTGGATGATCTCAGATGAGGACCACTTGATGTTATGTTGATAAGTCCAAGCATGCTCTGCTTTTCCAGATTTGCTGGTTTCCCTTCGCTGTGTATGTTTCTTGGCTCGGCAATGGGGACTTCCAATGGCTTCTTAGTTTCACCCGATATAGGATATATATCCGATAAATGCAATTCTTGGAATCGCAGTCCGCGTTTGGTGGCCTGGTTTTCGTGAGGCTGCTGCGGATAGTGTTTCCGGATCTGAAGCAGGTGCTGATGTTGCACTTGTAAATGCAACTATTGACATCTCAATCCGCTTTTGGTGGCCTGTTGGCCAACTTCTTCGAGGTCAGCGGTTCAGATCAATGTATAAAACTTCATGGAAAAAGCGTGATGTTTTCCTTTGAAGTTGAAATTATATTTCGTTGTTCAGTATGACATAATATTATGAAATATTCTGATTCTATTTTTCCAGGTTGAGAGAAATACTTTCGAATTCTTTTATCTGATTGAATTCCTGGCTTCGATGTTCAACTTACTCCTTGTACCTTGCTGGTTCTCCTCGGAAATGAAACGAAAGGTGAGCTCATATTATTGTCTTGTCTTGTTTCTGAAGATTTTGAATATAGCAATTTCAATCAAACTCCATACACTAACCACTTACCAGTAAGCGTAATTATATGGATTTCATGGACATCTGAATTCGAATCTATATAATAAAATTCCGTCAAACATATGAAGTTTTCATTTCAATCGGTTCAAAATCAGAATGAAACGATATTTTCAATTCAGATGTTTTTTAAGTGTAGAAGAGTATTTCAAAATAACTTGTGATATTATAGTTGTATATAATTATAAAATATACAAAGAGAATGTTATAGTTCGTTCACTCATAAGTTATTTTCAACACTTGGACACATGTTTCAATCACCAAGTGATCATTTTCAAGAAGAAGATTAAACCAAATCTATATACAATATTGTCTTTTTGGGAAAGAAAGTTTTTGGCTTTCTACTACTCCATCTTGATACAAAAAATGTGAGAATTTTCCAAAGAAAGGAAGAAAGTAATTTGAAATTACATTGGAAACGAAATATTGGCAAAAAACGAGCAAAAAATCGGTTTTTTTTTACTTTTGACCCCCAATCTTTGAAGTTGCGACCGTCGAATCATATGTGAATTTTGATAATACTTTTATGATGCCAAAATACAAAGTTTATACAAATTTACAGGTGGGTATGTCAACTTTCCGAAATAGAGGCCTAAATCGACCTAAAATGACTGGACAATTTGTCTTTCCAAAACTTATTTTTCAAATCTTCACGTTGTCAGATGGAAATTATTCATCTAGAAAGGAGATATTGATATACTGACAAACCTCCGACTTCGCCACTCAACATTTATGGCTTGCAAAGTTGAAGTTTGACTTTTCACAGGAAAACCGATAATGAAGTCCAGGACCCCAGCCTTAGACTTCAATGACTTTTACAGTATGGACTTTTGTGTTTTGAAATATTTGGGAGTTTGGATTCCTCATGCAACAAGCGGAAAGTATTACAAAATCTACTTTGTCATTATCAATTTCTTTTTTTGTGCGATTCTCAATCTGGTGCAAATTCTCAATTTGTTTCATCAAATGGATAACCTGAAAAAATTATCGGCATGTGGATACGTAGTAGCAATTGCTTGTATGGCGAACGTGCGATCATATTACTTTTTCAAAAACCGAAAAGAACTGCTTTCTCTCTTGAAGTTTTTCAGTGATGAACAATTCCAACCGCAGAATGAACATCAGCTCTCTCTGGCAAGAAAATCTTTGGACTTTTACAAGAAGATAAAGAAACTAATATCGACAGTCTGTACAATCAGTGTAATCTCTGCTGTATCAACTCCTGTGTTTTATACGAAGAATGAGCTGAACCTTCCATTTGCTTCTTGGTATCCTTTCGCTGTCTCTTCGCCTCCTGTTTATCAGATTGTTTACCTCCACCAATGCATAGCAGTTATTTACATCACTTACGTTAACACATACGTTGATATAATCATGGCAGGGTTCACAACTTTCATTGGAATACAATGTGATCTATTATGTGACACATTATACAACGTATCTGATTCGCAACCTCCTGAAGGGAATGTGAATATTCTTTCTTGTATCGCACATCATAAAAAAATTCTGTGGTGAGTACCCCAAAATCAAATATTTGAAGAATATTCAATTGCAAAAATCACAGTATGATGAATTCTACAATTCCTATTTCGCAAGAACTTTCAGATGAAAAACTATTTATGATTTTTTCAAATGAAGAAATGCATGTAAAGTGAGTTCGAATTATATCAAGGAGGTTACGTACAGCGCCATCTGCGCGCGAATAGACCAAGCAAAAATGTTGATAACTCTGTCAAATATAGATCCCGAACTTGAGACTTACGAACAAATAAAGATACATACATACAGGTGAAGCTGATAAAAGCGTGTTGATAAAAATATAATTCCACCAATAACAAGTGTTTTACTGAAGTATTTTCTATTTCTGAGTTATATATCATCAAAACAAGTCTTATATGGAAAGAAATATTCATCTGAAATAAAAATTCGTTCTGGCCAGTCGTAAATTACCTTAACTGTTCAATGGACTGACATCTATCAGAAAACAACTACTCCCCTAGCTAATACTACGAAGGGCGTTAGATTAAATCCGACAGGTTTCAGTGCAGGATTCTTCACTGAAATTATTCCTGCATATGCTGTTAGCGATACAACTGCCGCAATAGATTTTCATTTATTGGAATCCACTTGCAGACCGGTTTCGAGCTGTTTGGCTACTTGTCAGTACAAGATAGTGTCTATCGATGATAATATCCGATAACTGAAAACCGAATTCCTTCAGAGCTTACATTTCTCGAACTAGGCTGAAGCGAACAATAAACAACATGTTTGTCATGACCCCATCTGCCTGTGAACGAGGTAACCAACCGAATTTATGAAATTTACCCAGTCTGCAAATGTGTTCCAATAATCGAAAATCGATTGCAGCAGTTATATCACCAACAGCACATGCAGGAATAACAACAGTGAAGAATCCTGTACTGACTCCTGTCGGATATAATCAAATACCCTTCGTGGTATTAGCCAGGAGAGTAGTTGTTATCTGATAGGTGTATGTCCATTAACCTACAGTGTAGGTGATTTGAGACTAGCCTGAACGAAATGTTCTTTTAAATAATTTGATTTACAGCCAGTCTCCAAGTATGTCCACTTAATTTGTGAAGAACTATTTATGATTTTCAGCAGGAAGAAATTAATTTCGAATGCCTCTATTTATTTTTCTACCAGACGTCAATTTTCTGCCTACTTTTGATTCCTTGCTGGTTTTCATCAGAGATGTGTAGAAAAGTATGCAAATAATATAATTTGAAAAATTTTGATGGAAAACCAAATATATTTCAGAGTGAAAATATCGCTAAAGCAGCTTACAGTTGTCATTGGGTCACAGCTTCAGGAGCTTTCAAGAAGAACCTGATAATTTTAATTCATAAGTCACAAAAGCCAATAAGGTTTTATGCTGTTGGGTTGTTCCAGATTTCTGTGGAAACTTTTATGACGGTTAAACATTCATTTATGTTTTTTAAAGATGAATCATTCATTTTTTTCAGATTGTTCGATCTTCTTTCTCCTTCTACACAGTATTGAATACTCTTGAACTGAAAGAAGAATGAAACGTTCATGATGTTGTAACTAAAATGTAGTGTGACATAGTACAAGAAAATCCCACTATTCTCACCCACATCACATTATACATCACCTAGCAATTATTGGTTTCCACTTTTTCGAAAAATTATTTCAATATCTATCAGCATTATACTACTTTTTTACCCAATGAACTTACTGTCACTATTGAACACACGAGTAGAAAACTGCTTCATTTGCTAATCACTCGGTTGTCTGCCACATACTGCGATGGAAGCAATGACAGGATGACACGGAAAGAGACGATAAGAGACGAAAAGAGATGAGAAAAGACGAGATGAGGTAATGTTACCAACTCCACTATATAATTCAACAATCGACTAATCAGGTTAGGTCAAAGGATGAACAATAGGTGGGCGGAGCCTATGCGCGCGCCCCGCGGAAAGATAAATATAGCGCGTTTCGCAGGCTAAAGAGCTTCACCGCAGAGATTTGAAGCTGTTAACCATACAGCAGTCCATTCAGTAGAAAAATTTGTTAAACTTTAAATGTGAGTTCCATGACAGTTTATAGAATTTTAAAGGAACAGCAAGTATATCCTTATCATATTTAGCGTGTCCAGGCACTTACGCTACGTGATTTCCAACCACGTATCGAATTTGCTCAATGGCTTCAAAGAAAAGTCGAACAACATCCGAAAATTTTATCGATAATCCTCTCCACAGATGAGGGTAATTTTTCAAGAAATGGTATCATGAACTTCCATAACAACCATTCACACAAAAGATAACCCACATGCGATAACGCACACTCATTTCCAAAACAGATACTCTTTCAATGTATGAGTAGGTTTCATTGGAGATTATTTAATTGGGCCCTTTTTTCTCCCCTTACGTTTGACTGGAGATGCTTACCTACATTTTTTGGAACACGAGCTTCCCTAACTTATGAAAGATGTTTCCATTGGTCTCCAAAATCACTCTTGATTTATGCACGATGGAGCTCCTACTCATTTTAGTGTGATAGCAAGAGGAGTTTTAGACGTAGCATATCCCCAACGATGGATAGGAAGAGGAGGTACTGAACATTGGCCCCCGAGGTCACCGGACCTCAATCCCGTCGATTTTTTCTTTTGGGGACACATAAAATCAATAGTTCATGCTAGCGCGATTGAAAACGAGAAAATGTTGAGGTATCGCATCATAGCTTGCTGCGAAACGATAAGAAACACTTCGGGCATTTTTCAACGGATGCGAAATTCTTCAATGAGGAGAGCAGAAGCTTGTATTACTGTTGGAGGTCGTCACATTGAACAGTTGTTGTAATAGTTGTTTCGTTTACTTTTTATATATTTATTCTCCGAATTGATTTTTTACAAACTCCGAAATGTAGCAATTTCTTAATTGAATCGTTAAACCTGACAATTTTTTTTTTCAATTCGAATTGAATAAGCAGTTCGATAATGCTCAGTTTAAAAGAAGTCTGTAGGGTATACTGCGTATAAAGTTTGATGAAAATAACTAAAATTGCATAAAACTTATGACAAAAACCTAACATGTTTTGAAAAGTCTCAACAATCTGTATTTCGAAAACGAATCATTTTTCTCATCATTGTTCTCAGCAACTTCACTTAGGAGTTAGGTAATATGCATCGATATTGAAAACTGTAAATATCTCGAAAACGATCACCTCCAGCGTTGTTGGGGAAATATACGTTTTTTACTTGGAAAAGGTGTGGAAATTAGTTTTTTTCATGGACAGTACCAAAAGTTTACTGCCAAAAAAGTTAGGGCATTTTGAAATAAATAATGACAGCGTACGCAGCGTCTTCTAGATCTTACATGAAAATTAATACACAATTATAATTTCCCACGTCAAAAAACCTCGGCTGCCGAATTTCGTGCAAATAACTTCTTTTTTGCAAGAATTATTTACAAAGAGCGAACAATAAAAATCAATTTCAACATCCCGTATCTTCGAAACGAATCATTTTCGGACACAAGTCCATAAAGACTTTTTATCTCAGAAATACTTCACTTGAATATTTCAACGTACTTATTTTACACCCTGTATGTGTTAGGCCCGAATCTTTTCAGCCCATGTATTTCGTATTTAGATCAATACAGTGAAAATGTCAGTTCTCACACCAAAAACTCATGTAAGTAACATATATTTTTCTTCAATTTTCCACTTANACTTGAATATTTCAACGTACTTATTTTACACCCTGTATTTAGATCAATACAGTGAAAATGTCAGTTCTCACACCAAAAACTCATGTAACATATATTTTTCTTCAATTTTCCACTTATTCCAGCGTGTCGAAGTAAATCACCCCGATTATATCATTATCCAGGAAAAAGTGTCTCTCACTTCAAGCTCCGGACTGTTATCAAATAATTACCATAATGGCAAAAGTTTCAAAATCGAAGCGGTATAAGAGAGTACCACCTCAATTTCAGGTCACAGTTGATTTCACATTTTGTGAATAGCAAAATGGGTTCCCCAGACCTAGTCCTAGATTTTCATAGTTACTTCCAGACTGACTTCACTCTATTGAGATATTTCGGAGTATGGATAGTGGATCAAAATGAAACTCAAGGAAAAGTTCATGGAGTGTATATTTTCGTGATCAATATTCTCTTCATGCTTGTCTTGAATTTAGCACAAGTCATAAATTTTTTCAAGCAAACTGAAAGCCTCAGAAAGTTCGCAGGTTGTGGCTATGTGGTGGCGATTTGCTGTATGGCGAGTGCAAAGTCGTATTATCTGGCCAAGAATCGAAGAGCATTTCAAATTTTGGTAGACACTCTAAACGACGAAATATTTCAGCCTAAAAATTCGCAACAGAAATGCATAGCTGAAAATTCGCTTCGGTTTTATAGAACCATAAAAACTGTTCTCCTGGCAACTTGTTCCATGGCTGTGATATCTTCTATGACAACTCCACTGCTCGTCAAAAAAAATGATGAGAACCTACCATTCGCCTCATGGTATCCCTTCAATGTTACATCGTCCCCAGTCCATGAAGTGGTATATATTCACCAATGCATATCCTGCATTTATATTTCCTACATCAATATATATGCTGATATAATGATTTCTGGGTTTACAACATTCATTGGGCTGCAGTGTGATATGCTTTGCGATGAAATGGCTAGCATGGTTGACTGTCGCAAAATCGAATATTCTGTTGGAGAGTTTGTTGAGTATCATAGACACATTTTGAGGTGAGTTATTTCGCTTGTGATTACAAAATAATTTTCTTTATGAGTTTACTGGATTCTATACAAACACCCAGGGTGAAAGATGGAAAAAAATATCCAATTCCAAAATCTGATTGGTCAATTGACCATATACCTTTCAAAGCAGTAGCCCTAGATCTTTTCGCAATGTCACTAGGATTGTAGATAGGTTGCCTTTTATGTTTCGGGATTTGGCAACCCTAGTGTTGCAATCTGTCAACTGACAGCTCTATCGTGAAGTTGGACATTTTTGAGCTTATACCTACTCAGAACGTTTGGACATAATCGCGCTATTCGTGTTGTTTACAGCAGTGGTCGCCAACCTCTTCAATGTGTTGAGCTACTTTGTTAATTTTGGAATGAACAGCGAGCTACCCACACGGAAGCCACGTAACGCAACGTAAATGAAATAAT